CTATATAAAGGTAAATTTGTAATTATGTAAAATATAATTTGTAGGTTTGTCACTGAAATTAAGGAATCAGCACATTAATGACAATGCTTGGCTTCATAGCGGTGCTGTTATTCAGGGTTCTTTGCATATTTTGCGAGCCTCTCCAATGACTACATTGTTACGGGGACTACGGAGTTAGGATGCCAATGGGTATGTTTATACTTTTGACACTAGCTTCTACGAGCCCCATCTTCAGTCCTTAGCTCCTTGTACTTAATGACAGTGCTGTACTCTTGCCTATGCTCTAGAGTACAACATGGATGTCTATGGAGGATACCACTGGAGCATCCAAAGACATCAATGTTGTAACTCATACCCACAGCCGTTCCTAACAAAGGCTGAGTGAATTTACCAAACTTTAACGACATTTGTTCAATGGACACTAGAACAACTACAGCTTAATTTAGTTGCTCTGGTGTCTTCTGCCTGTGTCTCCTGGCCTTTTAATGTAAACACTGCCTTTTACTTGAAAAGGCAGTGTTTACATTACGGCCTAGGAACACCTCTGGTGACAGTCACTCAGACAACCACTAGAGGAGCTTCATGGGTCAGTGCTGCTCAATCTATGGTGTTGCTAAATGCTCCCCATAGAGTTGCATTGATTCAATGCATCTCTGAAGAGATGCTGATTGGCACAGTACTGTTTTGATGTGCATGTGCATGTGCGATAGCCTCTAATGCTCTTCTATGGGAAAACATTGGATTGGCTGAGATCTCAAGTTTGATCTCAACCAAAGGTTGAAGAGCCAGAATCGAGGAGATCCGCACGGCACTGGAAAAAAGTTAGTAAAATCACCTTTTTAACAGGGGACAAAGTGGGATGGCCACCTAAGCGACTGTTTAGACCTATAGTGTCAGGGATACATATTTGTATTCCTCACACTGTAGTTTTCCTGTAAGCTTTGATATCTTGAGGCTTTACCATAAGACAAAGTAGTTGTACTTTGACTTATATAATTTGACTGTGCTGGAATTTAAGGGGAATTCTAACAGTCTTTATGAGTATATCATAAATATTGTATCTTTATGAATTCTTCGTTTTGTTTTAGTGATTAGAGAGCTGCTTTAAGGTGTTGGTTTCATGCTTTGTTTAACTCTCAGACTCATAGACTGTCTTTCAAACTTGTGCAGAAAAAGGGTTCCCCTCCTGGAACTGTCACTGAGGATCCTTACTGGCAGTGGGGAACCCAATTGTCAAGGCTGAGTATCCTCTGGACCGGTAGCTACTTTTTTGAGCCCAGTGTTCATTGACTTTAATGAATGTGAAAGCACTTTCATGGATGTTGCACTGGTAAATTACTAGTAGTTGATGAGACCTGTTATATTTGTATGGCAACATGTTTTTTTAAATAATTTTCTTAACTGCAGATTGCTGGTCAGACTCCACTGCTATCTGATCGACTGGATCTGTCTGTACTGTACCAGGAATATGCTTCTGATGACCAAGTATATCAAAGCAAGATTAAGGTATTTTGTACACCTTATGCATGGGTTTATCCAGGATGTATTGTTTTTGTCTAGACACTGAAATGAAATTGAACCCAGGGCCTTGTTCAGTTCTTTTATTCATTCCCTTCCTAATGTTAGGACCTGCACAGAAGATACACTCACATTCGCAGGACGCGACCAGATGGGAACTGCTTCTACCGAGCATTTGGGTTTTCGTATCTAGAAGCTCTTCTAGATGGAGGTCCTGAGCTTGAGAGGTGAGCTTAGGCATAAAGTACAAGAGCTGAGCTGCCATACTTTGCGAGTAAATGAGATGGAGTTGTAAAATAACAAGAGATCCACACCTATGATATACATGTAAATTAAATTCTATTATCCTTATGTCATTCCCACAATTTCTTAATTGCCCTAATAATTCTATACTCTGTCTTTGATATGTGTTTGTGTAATTTTTTTTCTCTCTTCCCTAATAAGGCTCCATTTTGCCTTGCCTATTTTCCCCTTTTTTTAAAAAAAACATTTTATGTTCGGGAAATAAAAGGTTTTTAGAGTACTTCTTTACAAACATTGCATTAAATTAAAATGTCTGTCTTCAGGTAATAGCTGAATGTTTGGGATAGGAACGGGGCTAAATTATAAAAGATATATAATAACCATGTTGCATCAACCCAGTTTGATTTGCCCAAGCTTAAATTTTGATCATATACAAAACCCCCCTTGGTCTTCTAGGTTTAAAGAGGTCTCTCTGCACAGTAAGGATGATCTTATCAAACAAGGATTCACAGAGTTTACTATAGAAGATTTCCACAACACGGTGAGTGCTTCCAGTGAGATCTTGAAGTCTGCGTGAATCCTTTTGAGATGGTCTTTCATTGAGAAATGTATTTTGATCTGTATGTGACACCCTGTTTCCAACACACTCACAGTTTATGGATCTTATCGCTCTTGTGGATAAGCGCCCACTGGTCTCAGAGCTTTTAGCGACATTCAATGAGCAGACTGTCTCGGATTATGTGGTGGTCTACCTCCGTCTCCTGACCTCTGGACACCTGCAGAGGGAGAATCTATTCTACCAGCATTTTATAGAGGGAGGAAGGAGTGTCAAGGAATTTTGCCAGCAGGTAAAATATTATTAATGCCATTTGTCTAAGTTGAAGAATGTGTCTAATATGGATGAATATGTAAATACTATATAAGAGTGTGTATCGAGAGAGACGTTCTGTATGCAGACACTTTATATTGAATAAAGTTTACACTTTCATTGTTTCAAATCCATGTAGTTCACTAACTGCAGGCATAAGTTTATAACATGTTTAATTTGACATTGATAGATACTGCAGTTTCATTCCCAGTAAACCGCCCACCCCATCCTTGATCTGTCTCCAATGCTTCTCATAGGTAACATTGGAGGCATACAGTATGTGCTCTGTCAATAATATGATACTCATGAAGAATCATTAACCGCATTAAATGCCATACTGGGCCTTTTTAAATATATTTTTATTTTGGAAGTCTGATGGCCAGTAGGGGCATTTTGGTTGGCCAATTCCCCGCCTTCTGCATGGTCTCTGGGATATGAGGCTGTCTGGTCCTTTCATTATAGTCACCTTCCTGGTGAGCGGGTGTTATAGATCAAATTGTTCCCATAGCGACCAAACTTTTTGGAAGGTGGTCGTGGTGTTTCGAACCTGTGCTGTCAGTTTGTCCATTAGGTGGTTGTCTCTGATTTTTGTCTGCACTAATGTAATAGGTGGGGTGTCAGGTTTAATCCAATTCTGCGCTAGTGCTCTTCGTGCTGCAAGGTTTAGCATGTTTAATAGTTCGTGTTTGTCGAGTCGGTCTGGATAGTAGACACGTCCATGGTTGCGGTGTTGTGTTTTTTTGCAAAATACAGGAATTCATGTCTGTCACCTCTGTCCAGGACACTTTTCACTTTGGAGCATTGCCACCACATATGGATGTATGTGCACTTGTCTCCACTTCTCCAGCAAGTGCCTGTGGGACTGAGTCCCATGTGGTATTGTTTGACCGGGGTGGTGTACCACTGGAATAGTATTTTATACGTCTGCTCCTGCAGTGTTGTGCATATGGAGACTTTGGCGCAAGCTTTCCATATATCTTGCCAGTCTGTTCCTTCTCACGGTGAATAAACCTCTACTATTTTACTTGTTGCAGCTCTGTAACGAGGTAGCCTATCTTGCATTCCTCTCTGCCAAAAGTTAAACATATTACAGCAATGTCTTTATATGGTAGATGACTATTCAAAGCATTTTCACATTCAGGTTGATTATTCTGTGTCAGACATAATTTCTGCATAGACCCTGACATTCTATGGTTATGATCAATAACTTCAAATTTAAGCATGATTGTATTATAAGAGAAACATTATTGGTGAACAATTTATACATTTTCCTTAACTTGTATATCCAGTTGTCAAACTGTTGTATACACGTTTTAAAAAATATTTTTTAATATCATTGGCTTCTCTTTCTGGTTCCAGTATATGATTAGAGGACCACTAGAGGCACCCAGACCACTTAATCTCAATAAAGTGGCCCTGTGTTTTTTTGTTTTTTGTTTTTTTTGTAAATCTATTTTATTGATGTAATGGAGAATGTGAGGACAAAATGTACCAAAGTAGCAAGAATATTCATTGGGACACGCAGGTCCCCAAGACATTAACCGTATGCATAGCGATGTAAAACACAAGGTCTGTATGATATCATCAGCGTGGTATTCAGTATGTTCATTTCAGATGTTAATTCACAATACAGTAATATACTGGTATTTGCGGCACTATTTGAGTAAGGTACTGAGTTTATGCATCAAAAATCTCTACCTATCATAGTGTCATGTGCGTTACTCTGGATTCACCCTTTAGCATCTAGTTCCCTTGAATGCATTATTCTGGCGTAAGACTCCTCGTCGTAGGGTGCTGCTGTGTTCACCATACGCGTCAGTAGGGGCAGGTTGTTAGGGCTAGGACTTGTGTATAGAGAGTCGCGTCCCATCGTGTGCCGCCGGTGCCCATGCTTTTGGACAGGCTCGGAACACGATATGGGGCTCACATCTCTGGTACGCCTTTGTTCCTACTTTAAGTATCCTGGCGGCAGATTCCTTTGTGTTGGTCCCTCTGCAAATTCTATTGAGCGTAACCAGATCGAGCAGAGACGCCCCTCGTGTACACGGTGTTTCATTCATGCGCACCGAGGGTGACTGCCGCCGTTGCGTGGGCATGTGTGTGTTAGGTTCCGGTAATTTATCAAGTTGTCTAAGGGTGCATACTCAGAAAAAAACTGCAATGTTTTCATTGCACGTTTAACACACCTCTTGAGGCTGTGTTCCAACATAGAGACAGTAACTGGTTCTCATAGAGCAGCATGTGATTGTTGCAGCTTGGCAATTTGCTGTGCTTGTATATTAGCCTCTCAATTGTATTTGCCTCTGTATATTAGCTTCCCTTTGAGCGTGTATGTTTGTGTTTATTTAACGATCTTACTCAGCTGTATAATTTCAGAATATGAACTTTTTTTTTTTCATGTGGTTTATCGTTAGACAACTGTGTTGTGTGTTTTGTCTATTTTATGTCATTATACCAATCTATTCTTTGAGAATCAAATTCCAAAATTCAGTGACTCGCTCTATAAATGCTGTTCTGCCTGTTGACAGAGCCAGCCAAAAAAGACGGGCATTCCTCGCTGGCACAAGCTGTTTAAAGGGACACTCCAGGCATCCAGACAACTTCTGCCCATTGGAGTCGTCTAGTTGCCAACTCCCACCACCCTTAACCCTGCAAGTGTAATTATTGCAGTTTCTATAAAGTGCAATAATTACCTTGCAGGGTTAAGTCCTCCTCCTTTAGTGGCTGTCTATCAGACAACCACTATAGGGATTTCCGTGTTCTTAGAACACGAAAGTGTTTAAAACAATGCTGGACGTCCTCACGCTATGCATGAGTACCTCCAGTGTCTCCGGATTCCATACAGGAAAGCATTGAAAAATGCTTTCCTATGGGGAGGTCTAACGCGCCCGGCGATTGTCGCGCATAAGGTCTCCCCACGACGGCTGACTTTGGCGGGGGAGGAGCATGGGCGGAGCCTGACCCAGTGCCGAGGGACATCGGCGCTGGATTCAGGTAAGTCACTGTAGGAGTTTTAACCCCTTCAGCAACATGGGATGGGGGGCGGGAGGGAGAGGGATGCTGCAGTGCCAGGAAAACGGATATGCTTTTCTGGCACTGGAGAGTCCCTTTAGTGACCAGGTTGTGCTGGTGACAAACGGTTCTTAAAGGGACATGCTTTAGCTTTAAATGAGTTGCCTCACTGTGCACTCTGGAAAAAGAAGGTAAATCTGATTATTCACGGTCTTTTTTTATTTATTTTAATGCTTTCCACATCCATTCCAGGGTAAGCACTGATCAAGCCAATCCGTGTCTTATCCCCAAAAATGCTGGAAAAGTGCATTGGGCATGCTGACCGTTTTACACATGTGCAGTATAAAGATTTCTTCACTTGCAGCATTTATTGGGGGGAGAAGTGAGGGTGTCTGATCAGTGTGATCATTCAGAGCAGGTTCTAGTGTCGTGTTTCTCTCTCCTGCTGCTGCACAATGATGCCCTGTTTCTGTTATTAGTGGGCTGGTCTGAAACTTAGATTGTTGGGTAACGGAGGGGGAGGCTGAAGAAACTCCATAAAGTTATAGGCATGCTTAATAAAATATGAATGAGTTTATAGTAAGTTTATAAACTTTTTTATTACATCATTTTCAAAGTTTTTCTTGTTTTCTTTTGGATCTGATGTTTTAAAAGAATGGGCAATTGATGCATATCCTTTTAAGGTGTTAAGATCTGTTTATAGGGAGGATAGGTTCCTGAGAGAAGCTAAAGGACTAATTTTGTACGACACTGGCATCTATGAAAATATTTTGACTGAATTAATGACCTTTGTGAATTGACTATAACTGTCATTTAATGCACTTTCCCAATGTGATACTGTACCCCTTTAAAATTGTAAGCCCTGCTTTTAGAATCCATTGTGTAGATTGAACTAATGGTGCCACATTGCTGAATTAGTACAGTGCATTTCCAAATTCAATTTAAAGCTATATTTGTTTATGAATTTGAAGTAAATCAATGCATCTTGTTAAACAAAATGACTCTCTTCTGCTTTGTTCCCATTTTCTCTTCTCATCCCTGTTCAGGAAGTAGAACCCATGTGTAAGGAAAGCGATCACATCCACATCATTGCTCTCTCCCAGGCTTTGAACGTCTCCATTCAAGTAGAATATATGGACAGGGGGGAAGGGGGAAGCACAGTCACGCATGTGTTCCCAGAGGGCTCTAACCCACAGGTCTTCCTGCTCTACCGACCTGGACACTATGATATTCTCTACAAATGAAATGCTCCATGCTTTTCTGCACGTCTTCTATTTGACAATTCCCACTCTTTATTCCAAGGCCCCAAGTGCTTTCACATCCTTGATTTCCCCTTCATTTGTCTGTTACGTTTTATCCAAATGGAGCAAAATAAACGGTGAAACACTACAGCTTTTTGTCAGTGTAGGTGAGTGTAAGGATGTGAGAAGAATGTGTTTTTTTGTTGTTTTTTTTTGTGTATTTTTTTTTTTTTTTTTTAAATATAACCTGAACAGTAAAACTGGATTTTGCCTGCTGTAGCAGTTATGGTGTCAGGAGTGCCTCCTTCAGTGTAAGTAGTCCAACCATTTTCCCTAATTTTGTCTTCTTACTTGTGGTCTACAGGGAGGTTCTCACACCCAGAAATGAGTGCCGAAGGCTCCTGCTTGGAGCTTCCTTTAGCTCTCTAGAGCTAATCCCTGCCGGAGCCCTTCCAGGTCCAGGTAAATGGTCAAACCATTAGGAAACTGATTACTTGCATTCATAGGCAGCAGGGTACTCCTGGCACCATAACTACTACAGACTGCTATAGTAGCTATTGGGCTTGGGGTGTTCCTTTAAATAGTACGACAAGGATTGTTTTTGTCCATATAATACATCACATGCATACAAGCTTTTGGCATGAGTCAAAAGCTGTATGAAGGAAGCATTACAAGAAATACCATAAAATGCATATGATTTGGCTATGGTACTGAATGGATTATGCCGCAGATGTTCTGCACTTGTAGCCTAATGCATGTGTATTGAAGGAACACTTGAATATCCTCATAATATCTTAAGTATTGCAATCATACAGTATATGTATGGCAATCACTGCTGTCTTTTAGTTCAGTGTTTCTACAGACACGTTCAACATTGCCGTGCTATGTGCAATGGTGCCAAATGCAAAAACGTAAAAAATAAATAAATAAAAATTACATTCAAAAAAGTTCTTTAGAAGGAAGCAGCTCTAGGGTCTGTTTGTCCCAAACGTTAACATTGCAGCTTCTCATTGTTTTAAACTGTCTAAGAAAAGCAACAGCATCTATGCACCAGAACTACTATATAAAGATGTAGTGGTTTTGGTGCTTAACGTGTCCTCTTAAAGTCCAAAGAGAGGGCTGAACTTCACATGGGAACATTTTTTTTTTATTTAATCACATTATGAATCATACTACAGTGTTTGACATTATTTGGCCCCTAAAAACTTTATGCCATTTTTTTCATTGTCCGTGCTATACAGTTTTACTTTTTAGTCGATATGCAGAAAAATAAAATACATGTTTTCTTGGGTGGTGAGGGGTGGGGTTGCAAAATCTGCAGCCCTCTCTCTTATCCCAAGTCTGCCCTGGTATACTGAGCAAGATATTTATCAAAAAAACTAACTTTGTAGTTTAAATGATTAAAAAAAAGTATGTGTGTGTGTGCACATGTACATATACACGCATGTACGTGTAGCAGTGGGACTGTAACTGTATGGGTAGTGGTGATGGGGTGTAACTTGGGTCATGCACACTGTTACACCTCGTGACTGTCATTCAGAAAACAAATCTTTGTTTCCTGGTTGTTTAGCTCTGTGGAACTAAAAACAAGACTCTGGCATTTGCCCAGGGCTCCTGCCTTGCAAATACTTCTCATTGAGTTGTATTGTGATTGGCCAACCACAAAGTCTGGGATGGGTTAGCGTATGGCTTGCAAAGGCTGCAGACAAGAGAGATGGTTTTTAAATATACACCAAATGAAAAAAATGCATAAAAACCCACAGTGTAAACTCATTCACATGTGAATAAAATACACTTCCCTCAAAAGAAACGAATACTCCCAAGTACTGGTATTGACTGTCCCTGAGGAAGTATTTCTGAAGAAATGTGTAGGACTTGAGTTTCTCATTGTATGCGTTCTCTTTTTGACTGATTCTTCTCTACTGTCCCCGGCTGGAAACGGAGGAAGGAAGGAGTGACCAGGGAGGAGATTTGAGACGTATTTATATTTATCAAATTTCTTGTAAGTGCAGTTGTAATAAAAAGATTTTTTTTACATTTGTAGTGGATTTCACTTGCTATGGCTACATTTGTTTTCCCTTTTAATTTATTTATTTTTAAACATGAGTTGGCCTGAAAGGTGCTGCCATTAAGTTCTGAAGACACATGGAATACATGGCGATGTGCCTTCTAATTTTAAATTTCTGTATGTACAAGTGATGCAGGCAGATCGTGTTTAAATTAAAAAAACAAAAACAAATTGTGTGTATTTTAGTATTTTCCACTGTTTGATAATTAAATGCATGCATGTTGCCATTGGGGGTAAATCAACTAAGCAGTGGAATGTGCCTTTTAAGAGGGGTGCTGCAGGTGCTTTCTCTGCCTAATAAGAAACCCAGTTGTCCCCTCCTCTAACCCCTGCTTCAACCATGTAATGCGTTTCACATGCTGCATGTTATTTCTAAACCACCAGTGTATCCTACCGGGTTCCGTTCCTGCGACCCGGTCGTAGAACGAATTGGTTGTGAGGAGTTAAGTGATTCCCGGCTCTGATGCGCTTTGCCCATGACTACTCGCACTTGCTACCCTGCGAGAGAGCTGGTCATAAATGCGAGCCGTCATAAAACAGGTGGGTTGCAAAAAGACATGAATATACAGGAATTGAAGATGGGCTCTGCTCAAAAGAGCTCACAATCTCTAAACGACTGATGTTCATTAACTTATACTGGTGTTTTCCAGAATTCATTATTTTTTTTTTTTATTCTTAATGTAATTTTATATGCCCACTTCATTGTATAACATCGTCTTCAGACTCTTACATATTATTCTGTACTGTATTTTTGGCATTTGTACTTAAATCACGTAGAGCTAATAGTATCTAACATATCCTAGAGTCTCCACACAGAAATATGACTTGCCTCAGTAGGTGTCATGGTATATCTTTATTTCCTTTTACATTAAAATATTTTAGTTTATGTGTATTTCAAATTTGAGGCTAGAGTAGCCGAAGTGACTGCATAACTGACTTTTTGACCTTAAATTTGGAATTGACTTTGAATTCTCACCTTTATACTCTCACTCCCTCTCCCGGTGTTCTTCACTAGAGTTAGAATTGGTGGGAATTTAACATTTATTTTCCAGTGTGGCTGTATTGGCCTTAAATTTTAAATTTTCTTTGAATTCCCAACAATGCTCCCTTTAGTGAATAACCTTGTATCTATCTCATATCTCCTAATTAATGTTCAGAAATGCTGTTACCGGTGGGTTTTATTCCCTGCCGCAGTCACTTTAGAAGGGCTGGAAGGTCATTGAAGAAATTTAAATGTAATTATTTCATTTAATAGAACGTTGGGATGTTCTTTACCTCTTATTCTGCTACTAAAGTGGTGTGTGTTTTTTGTTTTTGGAAGCAATAGAAAGAGTTAGCATTGCTTCCCAACACAAGAAGCTGAAGGCAAAATTCATTCCAATAGTGATTCTCTCTCAGGTCTTGTTGGTAATTGGTTCTGCTGAAGGCTAATTAAATAACTCGATCCTGTAGCTGCCCGCCTTGCTTAAGAAACCTTTAAAAGTTCCAAACTCATCGTTTTCAGCTTTTATGGACTTAAGCAGCTGCTATTTCTGTCTAGAAATGCCCTTAGTGTCTGAAAATAGCAGCTGCGGCTCCTTAGTAAACGTATCCCTGTAGCTTCTAAGAAGGCACAAGCCTCAAAATAGGAGCAACATATGGTTTTTGGAGCTGTGTAGCAGAGAGCTGCCATTTCTCCCATGCATTAAATGTATTTAATTAAAAAGTCAATAAATGTCCTAAATTTTTACTAATACAAATTAAAAAAAAAATAGGAGTTTGGGTTGTAGAAGTTGGGTACACTACAGGGAAACAACACTATCTTTATATAGTATGTCTCTAATGTAAACTAAAAGGGGGAGATAGATCACTGGTTTCCTCCCCCTGGTCTTATATTAAGGTCCCTCTCATATTTAAATGGTCTTTATTATTCATAAAAGTGGACATTACAACCTTTGCAAAATATGCACACCCCTTCTAAATTTATAAGATCATACTGAAAAAATTCTCAAACTGTATTTTTCAACGTCCGATTTATTGGCTTTTTTATACCACCCAACATTTCAAATAGACAAAGAGGTACACTTTGATTTTAGAGGGGGGTTGTTCTTAAAATTTTGAGATGACTTAATAACAATTCATACATTAAAAAACTGTCTGTGTAAATAATATCCGTTACATAGTTACATAGCTGAAAAGAGACTTGCGTCCATCAAGTTCAGCCTACCTCACATTTGTTTTTTGCTGTTGATCCAAAAGAAGGCAAAAAAACCCAGTTTGAAGCACAATTTTGCAACAAGTAAGGAAACAAAAATTCCTTCTTGACCCCAGAATGGCAGTCACTTTATTTGTGTTCTAAATTATTTTTGAACATATTAAAAGTAGTTTAAAGACACAGTACTGTGTTTATTGCTGTGGCGCTCTGGTAAAAATATAGCCACACCAAGAATAAGTTCCAACAAAAGAACATCATTAGGGCAGAAAAAAAGTGATAGAGGGATTTGAACTTACTATAAGGACACTTGGGAGGTATGCTATTTATTTAAATTAATTGTAAGAGTTAAATTCAAAATGTACTACCTTTAATGGGAAATTGTAGGGTATTGTCCCTTTTGAGGACATAACTGTCTTGCACACAACCCGAAATTGCTTACGGTGTCTTTGGATCAGTTATATTCTGTTGTAGAGCATCTGTTATATTTGTAATGAACCGTGCCATTCGAGGGATATTATTACATGAACCCTCCACCTGGCAGAGTTGCTAGAGAGACTGATCATTTATAGACTTGAATAAACGAGCAAGGAAATATGTTTGTGAGAATACCTATATAAATGTAAGAATAAAATATTAAAAATACACAAACATTCTATGACTGCAATCTTGCTAAATGTTAAGACTTTTTTTCTTTTTCTTTCCCCTTTGGAAGTTTAAGGAGCTGCATAGCTTAAGCAAGCACAGTCTGCTCACGCTATGCAAGACAGTCTTGTAAACGTGCAGGACTTTGCTGTGATCTGGGAAGAGGGCACTGCTGTGTAGACATGTACATGAATGCACAGAGTGTGCTATCTCTTGCCAGGTTATGTTTGGCAATTCGTGCAACATTTTTAATAACCACGCCATATTTTATAGTAACTTCTAACCTTGACAAAAAGAAAAATAGGCAATAATTGTTACTGAGGCATAGGAAAATACTGCCCTAGAAGAGTTGTCTGAATGTGGAAACGCACGTCGGGTTTGACTCCGTTATATCCTACCAGCAGCATGTATAGATTAACAAGCAACAATGAATCTATGACTAGAGAGACTAATACTCTTTACATTTAGCTGGCTTTGGCAATATGTACAACCAGTCAGGGCCGGTGCAAAGATTTTTGTCGCCCTAGGCAAAATAATTATTTGTCCACCCATGTAGTGACATCACAATGTCCTCCCATATGATACACCTGTGTCATGACATCACGTATGCCACATCCCTGAGGGACTGCTTCTACAGCAGTCTAGCCGACTGGCCAGTATTAAGGATCTTTGCTTGGTCTGCCTGGGCAGCTCATTTGCTTAGACTCCATTAAAGCCGCCACATAGGCACGTGCAGCCCATTTTATTAGGGGAAGAAGTGCACACCCTATGTTATTTTTTTTTTATTGTTATATAATGTGAATATTTATCAAAATTTTGTGTGTGTGTACGTAGTGTAAGGTTGCAGTAAGTGTAGTAGCTATGTGTGAGGTGTGTGTTGTGGCTTTCTGTGATGTATAAGGCTGTGAGTGTCTGCATATGGGTAACTGTGATATGTTTGGGCCGCTGTGAGTGTTATATGTGGGAAATTTATGTAGGAAGTAGTGGAATTTCCATCTAGTACTGGGCGGAAGCAGTTGTGGAGGGTTAGGGGCAAAAATGGAAGGGAAGGCCCTGCAGTGACTGGTTAGGGGCAGTAGTGGGGGTTAGAACCTGCAGTGGGGGGATATGGTCAGTAATGGCGGCTTAGGACCTGCGATGGGTGGTTAGGGGCAATAGTGTGGGGTTAGGGGTGATAGTATGGGGTTCGGGGGTAGAAGTGGGTGGTAAGGGGAAATAGTAGGGGGTTAGGACTTTAGGAGTTTAAAAAGGGGAAGGTTAAAAAAAAAAAATAGTATGTATGTATGTATGTATGTATATATATATATATATATATTTTTTTTTTGTGTTGTTTGATTATATATATATATATATTAATTAAACAAAAAAATATATTTCTTCCCTCTCCCTCAGGCTTATCTTGGGCCAGGGAGAGGGAATCCAGTTTCATGTCTGCACCCCTAGGGTGCAAATTGTAGGTGCTCCTTGCACCCATGCCTCTCTCCTTCGTGCCATGCTGACACTGCCACCCTGACACTTCTACACTAATTCTAAACTAAATGTAAATGTGTTAGAAATAATTTGTAATAATACAAATTAGTGCCCAAGTCTAGCAAGCACCATTACGGTTTCATCTCATGAAGGTTGTTATAGTGTCTGTAGTTCCCTGACACTGTCTTTTCACTCAGCTGACCATTTTCAACCTATCACAGTCACCGATTCAGGTAAGAATTGGTATAGCTAGAAGGAAGTATACAATCACTGCTTTAATTCACATTTTCAGCGAGGGCAGAGCTATGGGGAGCCAGGGACCAGGGCCGGACTGGCCCACTGGGATGCCAGGAAATTTCCTAATGGGCCGGTATATCTTCGGGGCCAGTGCATAGCCACCTAAAATACACCGGCCTAGGGGGCACAATGACCAGGTGACCATCAGGAGGGGAAGAGCTACCCTCCTGCTGGCCAATTCTTGTAGCATAGCAGAGTGTACCATGGGTTTTGGAGCATCTTTATCCTCTAACCAGCCTGACCGGAAGTGATCTCAGTAAACACCTCCTGTCAGACTGGCTAGAGGAAACAGAAGCTCTGCCACGCTACCTGGAGGTTAGCAGGCACATGAGGGCAGGGGAAGGAGATACATGAAGAGGCAGGGGCGGACTGTGTGCTCAGGCACTTCAGACATGGTCAGAGGGCCTAGCCTAGAAAGGGGGCCTGCAACCCAGTCACTTTGTGTGTGGCACTGTCATACGCACTGCATAACCGGGAGCGGAGGTGGGGCCCTGGGGAGCAGATGATGATTCAGATATTGACATCTATGTGCGCCGCCTGCACGGGCCACTCCAGCTCAGAACCAATGATCAGGGGCTCAGTCAGGCGCAGTGGCCCTTTATTAGCCTGACTGTGCCACTGCTCTGTGTAATGCTGTACTTCCCCTACTGTTGTGGAAATAAGGTCTGCACATATTTCCTAGTTAGTGAAAAATGTCTATTTACTCATTTCACGATATATTACATAAAAATTATGCACACATGTTTTAATCAAGATGGCTGCTAGAAGCTTCTAACCCCTCCTCCCCTCCCCTTAACACCGACTAACTACCTCGTGCAGCAAGATGGCGCCGGGAAGCCATGGGAGACCCTCATGGTCCTGGTGACATCACCTTCAGTAGGCAGAGCATTAGGAAGATCACTTAACACCTAACCAATTATTGATGTATTATTCCATGTTATCTCTGACAATGCTTATGATGTAATTTTGCTTTAAAAGGGACCTGCCGTCCCCTCTGAATAAACTTTCCTCAAGTTATTTAACAACCTGTAACCTGTGTCTGGTGTGAATTACTTCAGGGAGCGTGCACGCATTTTTTCATTAATTTGGCCAGGGGCAGATACACAAAGAAATAATCAATTCATTGATTTTTCCATTTCAATTGGCGCCCAACGTGGGGCCACCGGAGGGCCGGTTCGGAGGGCCGGAAACCAACGGACCGGAGCGGACCTCCGGAAAGTGGGACAAGTGGAGCCTGATCACCTCCATAATACAGCCGTTGCCTGTGTTATTCTCCTGTTTTGTGTCGGTCTGTCTCCGAGTCCACTTCCGGCTTCCAGAAGGCTACTAGAGACAGGTAACTAACTCATCCGGTGTGCCTTTTAACCGATGCATGTGTTTTTCCTTTGAAATTTTAGCTTGACTGCCTAGCGGGCAGGGGACGCATTACAGCCGGTGGGGCTGGGATTTAGCTTGACTGCCTAGCGGGCAGGGGACGCATTACAGCCGGTGGGGCTGGGATTTTAGCTTGACTGCCTAGCGGGCAGGGGACGCATTACAGCCGGTGGGGCTGGGATTTTAGTGCAGCCGGTGGGGCTGGGATTTAGCTTGACTGCCTAGCGGGCAGGGGATGCATTACAGCCGGAGAGGGCTGGGATTTAGCTTGACTACTGCTGTGTTTCATTAATAATTGTGTTACAGGGGGCCAGCCTGGTGGGGAAGGGCTGGGGATTGCTGCATTTTTGAATATTTGGTACTGGTGGTGTTAACATGTACCTGGCCATTTTACTTTCTGTCATTTTGTGGTTTTTATTCAACTGCTGTTACAGTGTGGGTACCCTCAGTGTGTGTGTGTTGTGTGGCTAGTTCTGGATTCAGGGGTTTACACTCATCTCTATGTGTGCGATTTCTGTAAATGTCTTCTTGTTAGTGTAGCCACATTTATCTTTTCATTTGTCCTTTATCTCTCCTGTGTTTGTTGCCCAGAGCTGTGTTAGTCACCCACGCTCGCCCGCTCCAGTCCGTGGCCACCACCTCGGGTGGGCGGACCCTTGTGACTAGTCTACGTTTTGGGAAGACGCACGGGACTCAAGTCCTCATGGCAGTCGAGCACTGTAGACATTCCTCTTTCTTCTTCTCTGTATATCTGTCCGTTACACGTGGCTCACTCTGTTTGATCAAGATGGGGCAGGAACATGCTAGACCTGCTAAGGGATTGTTGGCTTGTGACATTGTGAAAGAAAGGGCGGGGGAAGATCAAAAAGATTGCTAAGGTGTGTGGTTTCCAGATGTCGCCCAGTGGGAGATTACAACCTGAGTTTTGGAGGAAATTGCTTATAGATAAAGAGGGATTGCTATTGGATAATGGGCTTACGAAGGCTGTAGAGGCTTGGTATCGAGTAGCTAGAGGTCTCAAACGGGAGGGATGGATTGAGGAGGAATTAGACTTTGAAGGACAAATTGTACATGTGTACCATAGGAATGTTAACAGTGATGATGTTTCTTCCACTGTCCCCCAGCCACCGCCCTATGATGGCGCCCAGAGCGTGACAATTAACTCCCGCCCTGCTTCCCCCGTCATTGCTCAGACTCCACCCTCTGGAGGTGTGGCTCCAGCCCCCACCCCCTGTGCCCCGTGCTCGGAGCCGATGGCGCTTACTATTATCCTGTGCCACTCCATACGTTCCCACCCACCCCTATGCTCCAGCCCATTCCCGATCAGGCCCCATCCCCCGCCCCTCCCCCCGTTACGTCCGTTGACATTCCCCCGCCTCCCTGTCCTCTGCCCCCTCTACCTATGCTTGCCTCCACCCCAGCCCCTAGTCCTACCCCGCCCACAGAGGTCCCCGCCTCCTCTCTTCCCCTCTCCACCCCGACTGGCCCCTCCCCAGAGACGCCCGCTCACCCGTCTCCAACCACTGATCTCTCGTCCCTGCTCTCTGCCCTCTTGACCCTTACCCACCGCATTCCTCCAGATCCCCCAGACCCTTGTCCTCCCGCTGATCCCTCTCCTCTTCCACCTCCGGACCTTTCTTCTCTTCTCTCCATTCTTTCATCCTCTACTCAACCCACTACCCCCACTTCGCCTGTCCTCCCTTCCGTACCTCCTGATCCCTCTCCTCCTCCTCCTCTTGCCCTTCCTACCCCTTCTCCATCTCCATCAGACCTTACCTCCCTCTTCTCTAACATTTCAAAACTAACCCGTCCCGTAACCTCAACCTCCCTATCCCCTCCGACTTCTTTCTCTTCTCCTTCTAGCGATCCCTCATCCCTGCTCTCTACTCTCATAAACCTCATCCAGCCTACTGATTCTGTTTCCCCCGCCTCTGCTTCCACACACACTGCCGTTGCTGGCCCTTCCTCTACCTCTCCTCCTTCCATTGATCTTACATCACTAGTAACCGCCCTTTCTGCCTTGTCCCACCCTCCTTTAACACTCCCAGGCACCCCTCCCACTCTCCAGGTTGATCCGTCCACCACTCACACGTCACCACCGCCTCCTGATACACCCGCCCTTACTACGTCACATCCTTCTGCCTCGTTGTCTCCTTCCCTCCCGGCCGATTTGTCGTCCCTCCTCTCTGCTCTCACTGCTGTAACCAAGCCCCCTGTCTCCGCCCTTCCTACCCCTCCCCCAGTGACTCCCGAACCAACCACCGCCAGTGACCTGTCCACCTCCATCTCCGCCCTCCTGTCCGCTGTTACATCCTTGGTCAATTCTGCTGTCCCTACTCCGCCTCCCGCAGATTTGCCACCTCCTCCACCTCCTCCTCCTGATTCCCCCAACCCCTTCCCCGCCTCCTGTTGCCCGCCCTGAACCTTCCGATCCAATCTCTGCCCTTGCTCACGTCCTTAATACTCACCTATCACGCCCATCCCAGCCGGCCCCCACAGCCACCCCATCCATGGCATTGGTTCCTTGTACTCCCCCCGCCAACTCTAGTTACCCAATCATGGTGGTTGGTTCTGATGTGTCGGTAACGTCAGACCAACCCTATGTAGTGGGCGTTTCTCCCCATTCCTCGGGGTTCCACCCAACCACCTCACCCGTCACCGGCCTACCTGCCGCTCCAGCCACGGCTTCCCCCGAGACTACTCCTCACCGTGGCCCAGCTGCACCCGAGGAGATAGATGTGGAAGAACAGGATTCACCTCGCTCTGGGGGAAACAGACTCCCCCAACGGCACTCTATTCCACGAGGTTATACTCAGGTTAACCCTGGAGCGGATGGTGCACCGCCCATGTATGTCACGTTCAACCCCTCCCAAGCCGCTACCCTTGTAACCTCACTCCCTGAGCCTGAAAAGCATCCCATGCCCTTTTTCCGCAGAATGGCACAGATTCGGAAAACATATTCTGCTGCATGGCGGGATCTTTTAAGTTTGTGTGAAATTAAAGCTGGGGATGCATACTGGCCAATCATGGCAAGGAGCTTTAATGATGCTCCACTCACTTCTGATACAGATTTTCGTTCTGGTATAATCTTCTGTGAACAACTCCGAGCTTGGGCACAGGATAAACTAGCTGATCAGGCTACTTGTATAAATGACATTATACAGGAAAAACTTGAGACTGTTGAGAAATATCACTCTAGATTGACTCAGACTTTCTCAGACTTAGGGTTCAGTACCTATAACAAAGCACACACCCAGATGTTATCTGCAGCCTTCGTGGCTGGTCTTAAGGAACACATTCGTAAGGGGTTAATTTTATCTCGTCCAGAGTACAGGATTATTCCACTTGACACACTCCTGTTGGTAGCCAAGGGTTTAGAATCAGTTTTACAGCCAACACAAAGGAGAGCTAGCCCACTGATGTTTACTACACCCACACCAATTACTGGTTCTACCCATGTTCCCCAGGTATTAACTCAACAATACACTCAGCAGCCCCAAACCCTTCCTGCATCTGTTCCCTCTTCCCGGGACAGGGCCCTCACGACAATCAGGACCTGTTTTAACTGTAATCAGGCCGGCCACTTCAAAAGAGAATGCCCTCACCCCAGAGTGCTCCCCCCGCAAATTCCCCGGTACACTAGTCCACATGTCTCTGGCTTTAGCTTCCCCTCCACAGGTTACCTCCCTGCCCTGCCTCACCCACAGTTTCCTCAGCTTCCCCCTCCTCCTCTTGAATACACACAGGCCTGGCCCCCTGCTTTAGAAGCCCGTGGATACCTGAAACCTGCACAAGCTGAAGCTATCACTAAACAAGTTGAAAGCCTACTCGCCAAAGGTGCACTTATTAAGTATGTGTCTCCATGTAACACTCCTCTTTTTCCTGCCAAGAAGAGAACTGCCAAAGGCCAACCTGACCAGTACCGGATGGTCCAGGATCTTCGTGCTGTCAATGAAGTAACTTTCAAAGATACTGCCATTGTTCCCAATCCACACACTCTCCTGTCTCAGGTCCCGCCTACTGCCACAGTATTCACTGTAGTGGATCTGGCTAATGCATTCTTCAGTGTGCCCCTAGACCCTTCCTGTCGCTTCCTCTTCGCTTTTACCCATGAAGGACAACAGTATACCTGGACTGTCATGCCTCAGGGGGCCCATAATTCCCCCACACAGTTTGCACGCTCCATGTCTCTGGTACTAGAACCATGGCAGAAATCCCACTCTGATGTTGTTCTTCTCCAATATGTTGATGATATCCTTCTCTTTGCTCCGGATCTTCACACTGCAGAGCGTGACTCGGAGGACCTACTATGTTTCCTCGCTGAAGCTGGTTGCAAAGTCTCCAAATCCAAGCTGCAATGGTGCCAGCCCTCAGTGGTCTTCTTGGGACATTGTCTTTCCCATGGCACCAGACATTTAACTTCACAACGTGTACAAGCGATCTTGCAACTCCCACTACATGCAGCACACCAGACTCTTCATGCCTTTCTGGGCCTCATCACATACTGCAGATCCTGGATACCCGAAGCCTCGAAGCTCATGCAGCCACTCTATGACACCCTCAGGAGTGAGCCCTTCAATCTATCTGAAGATGCTATTGCTTGTTTCCACAGTCTAAAGAGAGCTATTGCTTCAGCACCTGCCTTGGGCCTTCCAAACTACCAGTTGCCCTTCAATCTGTCTCTGAAAAGTCTGGACATGCTTCCGGAGTCCTTACCCAAAAACATGGCTCAAGACAGCGGCCTATTGGCTATTTCTCCTGCATGCTTGACCCTGTTGCTAGGGGTAATCCCTCCTGCCTCAGAGCGGTGTTTGCTGCCAGTGCCCTCTTGGACAAGACTAATGATTTTGTTCTTGGTCACCACCTCACGGTGTTGGCCCCCCATAACATTTCCGCAATCTCCAACAAGTCCAGCCTAAGCACCTTTCCTCACAACGTCACCTTCGCCTACAAACCTCCCTACTGTTACCTGACAATGTGAAACTTCAGCGGTGTCTCTCCCTGAACCCGGCCACTCTTCTGCCACTTCCCAAGGGGAGAATTGTGCAGTATTGGTATAGCTTGGACATCAACCCAGAGGTTCGAGCAGATTTGCAGCTGCCTGCCCTTGCACCCCCACATGATGAGACTTTACTCCACTGCACCTTGTGGTTTAAGGACAGTCCAGGCCCTGATATGAACTATGAGGAAGAACTGTTCCAACTCAAGGAAATTCAAATTACTCTGACTGACTTGTTATGGGATTCCACAGGTACCATGCTCATCTTAGTCCATCTCTCAGAGAATGTGACACATCTCTACCGTCATTGGGAAACAGCTGTCCCACACATATCCCTCACTAAATCCCCTGACATCTTATGGAAAGACCTAGGCCCGATGGCCAAGACCTGGAGTCAAATACACCAAGAACAACTGACCTCTATGGGGATCAGCAAAAAGACTATTAATTACTGTACAGCAGGGTACCCTAGGTACCACACAGAAGTCTGTGAGGACCCACTCACCATAGACTGTGACCTTGATATTCCCCATGATTGTTTTGAACAAATGAAAATGGAAACTACGCACCTGCCAACTGTGTATGAAGCTGCGTTACTTAACCCAGACCAAACACTGTTTGTGGATGGCTCAAGATTTGCTGATGAACAGGGACAATACCACACTGGGTATGCAGTCACCACAGGATGTCAAGTATTACAAGCAGCTGCCCTTCAACCAACCAAGTCAGCTCAAGAAGCCGAGCTAACAGCCCTAACTGTGGCCTGCAAATTGTCCGAAGGCCTACGTGTCAATATCTATACAGACTCAAGGTATGCCCTGGGAGTGGCACATGACTTTGGTCTAATTTGGAAAACTAGAGGATTTCTTACAGCTACCGGTACCCCAGTGAAACATGGGGTAGCCATCGCAGAGCTGATGGATGCTCTAGAACTTCCAGCAGAGGTGGCGGTATTAAAAGTAAAAGCCCACAGAAGGCTAGACTCAGAAGAAGCACGGGGCAACCACTTAGCTGATCAGGCAGCTAAGGAAGCAGCACGACAAGGATGGGAAGTGGACAGAAGAGTGGCCACAGATACAGTACCCATATACACTATGCAGACATTGCCTACAGATCTTAGGCTTCTAAAGGAACAACAAGCTGCTGCTACTCCCCAGGAGAAACAAAGTTGGAAGAACAAAGGAGCTGTTCTCCGTGATGATGTTTACACTATCAATCTCAAGTTTTGCCTACACAGAAATATGTATCCAGCCGTGGTCCAGTGGGCCCATGGGCCAGCCCACTTGTCAATACATCTGATGAACTCATTGATTGACAAGTATTTTGAAGCACCAGGCATCACTACCTTAACACAGAATTAATGTAGATCCTGTACAATATGCGCTAAATGTAACCCTGGGAAGATTATTAAGACCGCACCTAATCACCTGGCCAAGCCACAGTACCCCTTTCAGAGGATTCAGATTGACCATATTCAAATGCCAAAGAGTGGACGTTATGAATACGCACTGGTCATAGTGGACATGTTTTCAGGATGGCCAGAGGCCTTCCCAGTGACTAATCTCACTGCAAGGACTACGGCCAAGTACCTTTTGACGGAAATTGTTTGCAGATATGGAGTTCCAGAAGTGATTGAAAGTGACCAGGGGCCCTCCTTTACTGCCTCATTGACACGGGAAGTCTGGTCAGCACTGGGGGTGACCCTTGCATTCCACACACCATATCATCCACAGAGTAGTGGTAAGGTAGAGCGCATGAATGGCACTTTGAAAGCCAGAATGCTTAAAATGTCACAGGAAACTAACATGCCCTGGCCCGAGAGCCTCCCATTAGCGTTGTTTAGCGTAAGGTACACTCCTAGGGGAAAATATAGCCTATCACCTTATGAGATCTTATTTGGTACAGCACCCAGGCTAGGTTGTTACTTCCCTCAACAACTTCAGATCCAGTCAGATGCTATGGTAGATTATGTGACTGCCCTCTCACATGCCTTGACCAAAATATATGCCCAAGTGTTTTCTTCTATTCCAGATCCTGAGTCGAATACAGGTACACACAAGCTGCTCCCTGGTGATTGGGTTATGGTCAAGAAGTTTCTCAGGAAACACACCCTAGAGCCAAGATTTGATGGCCCTTATCAAGTGCAACGTCAGTTAAGCTAGCCGGAAAGAGTTCTTGGATACACGCCTCGCATTGCAAGAAAGTGCCTACTCCAGAAGAGGCTATTTCTACTGAAACATGAATTTGTTGTGTATTTTGTGTTTTATTACGCTGCTACACTTTGCCTGGGCCCAACAAGTGGCCATAACCAAAGATAATCATGTTTACACTTTCTGGTACAACTCCTCTAACACAGATGTAGCTACATATACCTTTGACTACTGTGACATAGTTGTTTGCACCTTTCCACAAACACAATATGCAGCCATATACAAAGACATACCTAACAAAAAGGATCCCTACATTGTAGTTCATGGAAAGCCGCCGGGTGGAACACGGGTAGACCATGGGGCTACAGACCCCAGAGTGCATTAGACAGAATTGACAAAGATGGAAAACCTCTACTCTCCAGAATGACCTTAAGCAAACCTATTGGGTCAACTCCCATTAAACTTACCTTGAATATAGAGCATCCCAGCCCAAAAGACGCAGGGGAATATGTAATGGGAATGTACTGGAAGGGATGTGGCTTACATAATAAACTGGGGACATTCTATCTACAGGACATGCTCACCTCACCAGACTGGGTAGGAACCACCCACATGACCATTAATCCGCTGAAACCACATATCAAGACTCTACATGACATGGTAGCTATAGCCAACCCCACCTTTGAAGACACTATGGCAGTGGAGACTGGGTTTTCAGACACTAATTTGTGGTTAGAGTGGATGAGGTACAACGCCAACTCACACAATAAAACTAATTGCTATGTATGTGGAGGAGCCAGGCCCCATCTGGGTACGGTACCTCTAAGTTTACCTTCTGAAGTAGAATTATGTGTATTAAGCCTCTATGCACAGTCCACCACGAATTCCTCAACATGTGAATCATGGAAGAGAATTTACCCAATCACTCATGGATATGTCAGGCCACCCGATGGAGTCACAGTATATCCAGGTAATTACACATGTTATTCAATACCCAAGAATACTGGTGTGTATCTGGGCAAATTCCCATCTGGATATTGCTCAACCTACCATAGCCTGCCTGTATCACTGCTGATGAATCATGCAAAGACAATCGGAGACATCTATTGGTTATGTGGTGACAGACAATTGAGGTCCCAACTAGCTGGGCAATGGTGGGGGGAGTGTGCCCTGACCAAAGTTATAATGCCCATCCACATTATTCCAGATGGTAGCCACAACACACTAGACCACACACACGTACATTCTAGAACTAGACGTGAGGCCCCCATCCGAGGGAGCTTCGACCCCCATGTATATATTGATGCCATTGGTGTGCCAAGGGGGGTGCCTAGTGAATTCAAAGCAAGGGATGAAGTGGCAGCAGGAGTTGAATCCTTAATTCCAATGATAACTGCTAATAAGAATGTCAATTGGATTAACTACATTTACTATAACCAACAGCGCTTTGTCAACTATACTAGGGATGCCCTACAGGGCCTGGCAGAACAGTTACAAGCCACCACCCAAATGACATTTCAGAACAGAATGGCCCTAGATATGATTTTGGCTGAGAAAGGGGGTGTATGTAAGATCCTCCCTGAAACTATGACATGCTGCACATTCATTCCAGACAACACTGGGCCCAATGGTAAGGTAACTATGGCCATAGAGAAGCTAGATAGCCTTTCTGATGAGCTAAAGAAGAACTCAGGAGCCACTGACACTTGGGACAGATGGTTTGGGTGGATGAATGGTTGGCAAAAGACCCTATTCCAAGTAGGAACGGCTGTTCTTATAATGATTATCATCTTCTTATTCCTAACCTGTTGTGTGCTCCCTTGCATACAGAAGTACTTACAGAAAGCAGTAGGGAAGAATATAGATGACGTGACTCCTACTTTCCTACACCAAGACATCACAGACCTCGAAAGTGACACTCCACATACACCCCTTCAGTCACATCAGTTCAAACAGACAGCTGCATTCCTGTAGGGACAGTGTAGGGAAAGCGTCTGTCTTTACGGGCAAGTCTCACGTGCGGAGATGTGGTGGACTAGCCACCGCGGGTTACCCACGGAGTGAAGAGTTCGATGCTTGTTAAGACAGATGAGCTGCAGGCAGCTAGGGATACACTAGGGACAGTGACAGTTGTCATGGTAAATAGCCATTTTAGGGGGGACTGTTGTGGAAATAAGGTCTGCACATATTTCCTAGTTAGTGAAAAATGTCTATTTACTCATTTCACGATATATTACATAAAAATTATGCACACATGTTTTAATCAAGATGGCTGCTAGAAGCTTCTAACCCCTCCTCCCCTCCCCTTAACACCGACTAACTACCTCGTGCAGCAAGATGGCGCCGGGAAGCCGTGGGAGACCCTCATGGTCCTGGTGACATCACCTTCAGTAGGCAGAGCATTAGGAAGATCACTTAACACCTAACCAATTATTGATGTATTATTCCATGTTATCTCTGACAATGCTTATGATGTAATTTTGCTTTAAAAGGGACCTGCCGTCCCCTCTGAATAAACTTTCCTCAAGTTATTCAACAACCTGGAACCTGTGTCTGGTGTGAATTACTTCAGGGAGCGTGCACGCATTGTTTCATTAATTTGGCCAGGGGCAGATACACAAAGAAATAATCAATTAATTGATTGATTTTTCCATTTCACCTACCTCCCCCTCCCTGCTTACAAACAAGCCAAGAGAGAGAGGAGGGAGAGCCTGGACTAGACTCACAGACTCCCTCATGGAAGCTCTTGCACTAAAAGGCATGGAAGCATGGGGATGGTTAAAAATATGTTATGTAATCATATCTGTGTGTCTTTATATCTGTATGTGTGTTTGTATTTGTATGTATTTTTGTTTATATCAGTGTATCTGTATGTGGGTTAGTGTGTGTCTGTGTATCTGTTTTCTGTATGTGTGTTAGTGTGCGTCTGTATTTGTATGTGTGTTAGTTGGTGTTTCTGTTTGTGTGTCTGTATGTGGGTCGTTGTGTTAGTGTGTGCGTCTGTATTAGTATGTGTATGTATATCTGTGTGAGTGGCAGTGTATATATCTTAGCAGTCAAACTCCCAACACTTCACACATACATCCCTGCATTCAAACATTAACACTACATACACATACAGATACAAAAATAAGAAAAGGGTCAGCGCTAATAAAATTGAAGTAAGATAGGCAGCGGCCCAATAGAAGGTAACCCTCAAACCCTCTGAGGAGAGAACATGTAACACAAAGAAATACAGGAAAAGGGCTGCACCAATAGTTAAAAGGTACAATAGTTTGTCTGAATAGGTAGGGCAAAATAATGTAGTTGGTCTCACTCATATGGTGGGACTTAAGTTCTGATGGAGTAACTGAAGGTAAAGTCCAATAATATTGAGGTCTCACTCAGAAGTAAGTATCTTTATAAGGTGCCTGTTTTTGGGTGTAGAGTCCTCAATGTCCCTAGTGGTCCAACCGTCCCACTTATATGCAAGATAAAAACTAGGAGACCCAATAGTGCAGTATATAAAAGCCAATATAGGTAAAATAAACAAATATGTGTAATCAACTCACATTTAAAAGCTATAGCCAGCTCTGGTGTGAAGAGCGTACAGCGGTATAATCCCCGCTTTAAAGGATATATGATGAGATTCCTCCAGAGAGATGGTATCCAACACTCAGGAGAGGGATATATAAAATACAGTCAATAGTGCGCTCAGTAGAATAAAATATGCAGTAAACGTAAATAAAAATGTACTCACAAGTGAAGTGCAGGCAAACTGCGTTGGTGGTATGATCCCCACCTCGGATATACTTGGAGTCACACAAAGGTAAAAGGAAGCCAGGTTAAAAATTCCAAATAAAAAAAGTGTGTTAAAAAGATGATTGGCACAAAATTGTAACCAAAAAGCCTTTCATTAATAAATATATATATATATATATATATATATATATATAAAACACAATAAAAATAACCATAACGCGTTTCACCACTATGGCTTTATCAAATTGGTTACATTCAGATACAACCCTACATTCAAAGGCAAACCCTAAACACAAGTAAACCACTGCTTTTAAATGGCAACAGTACATAAAACACACTACACACATACACCGCTACAGTCAAACACATACTCCATTCAAGATATGCTTACATTCAAACACTGCTAAGTGCAAGGATGGGCAAATAGCAGATATCCAGCTGGCAAAGCATTGAAGTTATATGACAGACGGAGATCTACCTTTTTTTTTTTCTTCTTCTATCCATGCAAATAAGGGGGGCCTCAAAAACAATTATTGCACGTGGGTCCTTTCTACTTTAGTTCCACTGCTGAGCGCAATGCAGATTATCAACTTTAAAAAATGCTACAAATAGAAAGCATTCATATAGCAAGGGGAATAATATATCCGAGGCAAACTTAAAGGGACACTATTGTCACCAGAACAATAACAGCTTAAAGGAACACTATAGTCACCTAAATTACTTTAGCTAAATAAAGCAGTTTTAGTGTATAGATCATTCCCCTGCTCAATTCACTGTCATTTAGGAGTTAAATCACTGTGTTTCTGTTTATGCAGCCCTAGCCACACCTCCCCTGGCTATGATTGACAGAGCCTGCATGAAAAAAAAAAATTGAACTTTAATCACATACAGGAGGCTCTTGCAGGGTCCAGCAAGCTATTAACATAGCAGGGGATAATAAAATCTTTATTAAACAGAACTTGCAATAAAGAAAGCCTAAATAGGGCTCTCTTTACAGGAAGTGTTTATGGAAGGCTGTGCAAGTCACATGCAGGGAGGTGTGACTAGAGTTCATAAACAAAGGGATTTAACTCCTAAATGGCAGAGGATTGAGCAGTGAGGCTGCAGGGGCATGTTCTATACACCAAAACTGCTTCATTAAGCTAAAGTTGTTCAGGTGACTATAGTGTCTCATTAATGTAGTTGTTTTGGCGTGTATAGTATGTTCCTGCAGGATTTGTAATGGAAACGCTGTCTTTTTAGAGAAAAGGCAGTGTTTATATTTCTGCCTAGTAACACCTCTGTGCTGTCACTCAGATGGCGACTATAGGTGCTCCCTCGGTTAGCACCTACGTTCAGTGTCTCCACATTCTGAATGGAGACTCTGAATGTTCCCAATAGAGATGCATATATTCAGTGCATCTGTATGTGGAGAAGCTTCCAGGTGTAGCACAGCATTTTGCAGCATATGCACAATAGTCTCCATATGCTTTCCTATGGGAAAGAATTGGATTGACTGGGATTGTTAAATTTGATGATCTTCGTCATGGAGGCAGAGCTAGATGTGGCGAGACTCTGGAAAAAAGGTGAGTACATTTTTTTTGAATAGGAGGCAGGGAGGGCTCGGGACCTAAAATGTGTTCTTACAACTATAATGTCAGGAATACGTTTGTAATTATAGTGTTCCTTTAACATCTTACACACCATATGCTTATGCAAGAAATATAGCTTTGCTGCTATAATCCCCCTGTTATAATCTTATCCCTCTTCTACAGGTCCTATCCCACATGACAGACCCTAATCACCCAACTTTCACACTACAGTCTCTATCTTCAAATAACATCCTCTATACTCACTACAGCCTTTCTTCCCCCACTACATTCCCTATACAATCGCTACAGCGTCTACCCAGGGCCATCTTTAATATATCTAAGACCCTGGACAAAGCATTTTCTTGGGCCACCTGGGCACCCCTCACTCTCTGGCATGCAATTGCACCTTTCACATACATACATACTTACACAGACATATACACGGACAGACATGCTGACACAGACACACACACACACATATATATATATATATATATACTGACAGACATGCTGACACAGACAGACATAGACACAAACACACTGACAGGCATACTGACACACACACACAGACACATACACCGACAGGCATACTGACACACAGACACACACTGACAGACATACTGACACACAGACACATACATAAAGACATACACTGACAGACATACTGACATACCCATTGTCAGACATACTGATACACACACACAGACACATACATTGACAGACATACTGACAAACAACCTACTCACACACACACTGTCAGACACACAGACATACACTGACAGACACACACATACTTACACATGCACACTTTTAAATCTATTCCCCGTTTCCTACCTTGAAGCATTGCTTTCCTGGTGTCCAGAG